GTTCAAATCCCACCGGCTCAGGGTTGACTCAGCCTTCCATCCTTCCGAGGTGGGTAAAATGAGGACCCAGATTGTTGGGGGCAATATGCTGACTCTCTGTAAACCGCTTAGAGAGGCCTGAAAGGCCTATGAAGCGGTATATAAGTCTACTGCTATTGCTATTGCTATTGCTATATATATATGTGTGTGTGTGTGTGTGTGTGTGTGTGCGCGCGCGTGCGTGCGTGCGTGCGTGCATGCATGCATGCATACATACATACATACATATATAACATCCAATTATAAAAGTAAGATTGTTTGGTTTGGCAGCTATGCCTGCTGGTGCTTTTCTTCTTCATCCATCCAGTTCTGTTTGCTTCTGGTAGAATCGTATATCTGTTATTTAACCTTCCCATGGTAACAATTCGTATTCTGAATCTAAACTTAGTATAGTACTTAGGTGTATATAAGATGCTTTTTTGAAGTGGGCCCTTAGAATAAATGTATTTTGATATAGTGACCATCTGTCCATGAATATCACATTTGTTAGTTAAAAAGAATAGTTTGATTCCAATAAATACATAATTTTGGTTAGATGTTATCATTTCACCAGGTGGCAACACAATAGCAAAGTTTGATAATCAACTTGGATATGTCATTGCTTGCTTTATGCTTGTCACTTTTAAATATTTATCTCTTATTTTATTTTTAAGTGCAGACCACTCTTGTTAAAATTGTTGCATGACATCTGCGTCATAGATTGGTAGGAGGCTCAATGCCGCAGGCCAACCTTAGTAGGAGGCAAAATTCTGAAACAACCTGTCATGTTTAGTTTCACCATTTCTGTTTAATTATAGCTTATTAATAGAATAATGCATGCTATTTAAAATCAAGCAGTGGTGCAGCTGGTAGTGTTTAGACCTTGGAGCCAGTGGTCTTAACTGGGCCATTCTTCACTGTATCTTACTACACTGTATCTTACTACAATTCCATCCTTATTACTGCTTCGGTTCCTTTTTTTTCAGGAACAAAGTCATTTTTCCAGCACTTAACAGCATTGAAAAAGAAATATTTTGAGCGTATGGAGTTTTAATCACTTAAACCATGGGATCAGTTTTTATAGGAATAGACTGCAATTTGTTATACTAAGGCTTTTTTTCTTACTGAAATGAGTAATGTATTTTGGAACGTAGGAAACAAATAAGTAAAATAGCTGTTGCCGCTATGTAAATCTTTCATTGTCTGCTTTCTGACTATTGTATAAAGCATTAAAAAAAATGAGGCAAGAACAAAAGGGTAGCAAGCGGTATAGTCTTGGCAGGTCTGGCCCACCTGTGCTGACCCTGGACCTCTTTGATGTTGCCGCTAAAGTTACATTTCTGAGGAGTCATTTCATTGTTGATCTAGGTGACAATTATAATAATCTCAGACCTGAATATCTCCCCAAAGTTGCACTATAGGAGTTATAAATGGACTTTAATAAATTTATAATTGTTTATATTAGTCAGCACCAAAGCCTAATATTTATTGCAGTACCGTCTCTTCTTCTATAACATATTGCTGACCAAATGAGTATGATATATCGCAAAGTCTTGACTAAATAAGGAACAATTCAAATCCCCCCCCCCAAAAAATGTTATATATTTATATTAGAGTAAATCCCATTGGTTCAATAGGGTTTTCTTTCATGCACATGAGAATAATTCTGAGATTTACATTCACAGATAAATTGTCATCTGTACATATAGCTTTTTTCCTATTTAATTGTTTTGTAGTTGAATTTAGAATGGCTAACCTACTCTGGTTAGCTATTCTGAAACAATTATAAAATACATAGTCTATTGGGATTGAAATGAGCTATAGCAGTCTTTTCACTTCTTCAGCTTGTCATGGAGAGATTAGAAGCATTCAGTTTTTGTTAGCTGATGTATTTTAATTACACATTTTAAATCTATATTAGAGCCAGTTTAGTGTAGTGGTTAAGGCATCAAGCTAGAAACCAGAATACTGTGAATTCTAGTCCAGGGACAAAGCCAGCTGAGTTGTCTTGGGCCAGTCACTCTCTCTCAGCCCTAGGAAGGAAGCAATGGCAAATCATTTCTGATATTTGACAAAAAACTGCAGGGAGCTTTCTCATACTTCATATTTCTCATATTTTTACAATATTACATATTGTAATTACATTACATATTGCAAAACTTGTGCTGACTGACAATAGGTTTCTCTGTAATAACTCCTATGTAACTCCCAGTTTTTTCTTTCTTTCAGAAACCGGTCAAAACATAATTGTTCTGGAGGGTGTTTGGGAATTAATGGATGTTGCCATCTGTAATGGGCTGTGAAAGAACCTTAAGAGACAGGATGAAATGCTTCAGCATAGACAGTGATGTGATAAAAGAAATCTGGATCCAGAGTAGGAATGGGGTGGAAGAAAGCATTTCAAAATTGACTCTCCCTAGTTCTCTGGAACATAAAGGCAGGGGACAGAGAAAATATTTCAGATTTGCAAGACTTTATTAAAATATTATTAAATCTTACAATAAATGTTGTATTGGCATTCTTTGTTTTGGTTTCCCAGTTTGGACTACCCTGAAGAATTGCTACCTATATCAATTTGGGTACCTTGTTTAAATCTTGTTTCAATATTAAATCTGAACATAGATTAATCTGGTTTTGTATTGGTTTTATTGACTTGAGATAGTTTAACTGTATTATGTTGTAGAATTTTATTTTACTATTAACTGCTGGGAGTACTTTGTTATGTGGTATTTGTTTAGATATAACTATATTGTAAATTGTATATTGCAACCAAGAAGTGTGATCCCTGCATATTCTCAGGATCTCAGGCTTAGACAGAGAACCAGGCCCTTACAAAAGGCCAATATTGTCAGGACCTTTTTATCTCCAGAGGTAGAATGTTTCACAAGCTTGGTGCTAAGACAGAAAAGGCAACAACCAAAATTTTGAATTGTACCCGAAAGTACACTGCCAACCAATGTAGCTCATAAAATAGTGATATTACATGGGCCAAAAAAAACTGGCACAATTTACTACCTGTGTTGCTGATTCTGCGCCAATTGAAGCTTCTGAGGGCTCTTCAAATGCAACCCCATGTAGAATACATTGCAATAGTCCTGACTGGAGGTCACGAGGTCATGAGTGATAATGAGCAGAACCCTGTTCCAGGGTAGCTAGTGCACAACCTGATGATGAGTTCTTCGAGCTGGAATCATTAGTCTAGATTACCCATCGGTCTTATCCGAGGCAGTGCCACTCATCCAAGGCCCACAATGGAAGGCACCCAGTAGCAGAGGTGGAGCAAAGCATTTCTATTTTGTTTGTGTTGACCTAAGGCCTGTTGCACCTCATCAGCCTCCATTTATGGATTAGCGTTCACTGAGGAAGCTAGGTGTGGAGATACAAAGCTGATACAAAGCAAATCCCAACCATTGAATGTCCTCATTCAGTTAAACTGGAGAGGAGAAGGACTAAGCTCTGTGGTCTTGCACAAAGTAGGGGCTAAGGACTGGACCTCCACCACCCCCAATGACACTGAGTGAAACCAGTCTTAGAGGAAGGAGTAGAACCAGCAGAATTTTATCCTACCCACCCCATACTTCAAGAGCAAGTCCAGAAGGATACCCATGATCGATGGTATCTAAAACCACAGCGAGGTTAAGAAGAGCAAAAATAGATGCACTGTCTCCATCCTGCTCCTGTCAGAGGTCATCCAAGGGTATGACCAATGCTGTTCTGTCCTATACTCTGGCTTGAATCTAAACTGAAAGGGGTTTAGAGAATCAATTTTCTCACAATAATACTTTACCAACTTTTAGAATTCCATCAAATTTGGAAAAATTGAGGATTTACACCTTATCCATTGTTTGTGCCAATTGCTGCTATAATAGCTATTATTAAACAAGTATAACATCCTTTGTTGGAGTATTAATACTAATTAGTATTCTTATGTTACTGTTCTAATGGAACACAGTATTTGTCCAATGGAATCATTCTGTAATGTTGCTATATGGACGATGAGACAATTAATGGACACAGTTTTTATGCTCTTCGTATGTAACTTTGGAATAAGTCCTGGATACATCTAAATAAGTCCTGGATACATATTATAATAATAGAAATGTCAGTAAAAATAATATTTAACTGTATTTCTACCCTCCAATAATATGTTAAGCAAACTTAGTTGCCTAGTACCTATTGTTACTTCTATTCAAACACTTCGTTGTATATCTTTTACCAGGTTGATCCTTTGTATTGTATTTTATGGATCATTTGTCTCATCCAAATAAATTGGGATAAATTTTAAATACAAAATTAGAATTTATTTTAGCTACAGCTAAAGTAAAAATAATACCATTCAGAAGAAAAGTTGGGGGAAAATAGGAAGGAAAAATTGCATTGTATTATTAATAATATAGGCATGCATAACTCTTAATGATAACAATACTTAATAATTAGTAATTAATTTAAATTCTAATATGATTTTTTAAAAATTTTTACTCTATTTTCATAGAACTTTATAGCAATCCTGTGTTGCATAGACTGGATTGTTAAACATAATATAATGAAACTAAACTGAATAATTTTCTATTGTGAAAAAAGATTACAATAACCCATCCATTTAGCAATGTGGTAAATAAGTAAATAAACTAAAGCCATAATCCTCAGATAATTTACTCCTTGTTGGATTACCTTGTTGGATATGCCAGCAAAATTGTAATGTAATTATATCATAATAAATAACTGAAGAATGTATTTTAGCTTCAGTCAGACTTGGTTATTCTGCTGGTAAAACATTAATCCTACTGAGGTATCATGCCAATGTCTAGTTGTAGAGGGAATGCCTTAATTTGAGAAGGAATATTATCATACTGAACTAAAAGCTATGCATATGTTCTGTTCAATATAACCCTCATTTTTATTGTAATAGGTACATTGTTGATAAATGGGTACATTCTTTAATTGTTCTTTTCTCTCTCTCTCTCTCTTCTCTTTCTTTCAAGCTTATGTTCCTGAAGAAGAACTGAAAGCAGCAGAAATTGATGAAGAAAGTGGGGAGGATGATGGGCTATCTCTGGACATCCAAGAAACTGAGTACATGTGCCAAGATGAAACAGAGATCAAAGAGGCTCAGAGTTACCAGAATTCTCCAGTCAGCACAGCAACAAATCAAGATGCAGGTTATGGTTCACCATTCAGTGAAAACAGTGATCAACTGGCTCATTTCAAAAGCTCTTCCTCTAAAGAAGAGAAAGAAGATCACAAGTGCTTGGACAATGCTTCCTATCCACAGGACAGCTTAGCACAGATAAAAGCCGTGTATGCAAATTTACTGTCAGAATCTTGTTGGTCTGGTTTAGCTTTAGATTTAAAAAAATCAAAGAATAATGAAGACAGCCCGAAAGAAAGCACCACTAACAGCACCACTAGTAACAGTACCCCAAATACAAGTGCCAGCACCAGTACCAACACTACTACCACTACAAGCATCAGTAGTACTAGTAACAGTAGCAGTGGCAGTTCAGGTTATGACTGGCATCAAGCGGCTTTGGCCAAAACTCTGCAACAGACCTCATATGGACTTCTACCAGAACCCAGTCTGTTCAGCACAGTGCAACTTTACCGGCAAAACAATAAACTGTATGGTTCTGTGTTCACTGGTGCCAGTAAATTCCGATGCAAAGACTGTAGTGCAGCGTATGATACACTGGTAGAGCTTACAGTGCACATGAATGAAACTGGACATTACCGGGATGACAACCAAGATAAAGAATCTGAAAAAGCCAGACGGTGGTCGAAGCCCAGAAAGCGATCACTTATGGAAATGGAAGGCAAAGAGGATGCCCAGAAAGTACTAAAATGCATGTACTGTGGTCATTCATTTGAATCTTTACAAGACTTAAGTGTCCATATGATAAAAACAAAGCATTACCAGAAAGTGCCTCTGAAGGAACCAGTACCAGCCATCACCAAACTGGTGCCTTCTACCAAAAAACGAGCACTTCAGGACTTGGCTTCACCTTGCTCCCCTGAGCCAACAGCAATCACTTCAGAGACTACACTTAGTGAAGCAGGAAAGGATCAGAAAACTGCCAATCCATATGTAACTCCCAATAATCGCTACGGCTATCAAAATGGTGCTAGCTACACTTGGCAGTTTGAGGCCCGCAAAGCTCAGATACTAAAATGCATGGAGTGTGGCAGTTCCCATGACACTTTGCAGCAGCTGACTGCTCACATGATGGTCACAGGACATTTTTTGAAAGTAACTAATTCAGCCTCTAAGAAAGGAAAACAGCTAGTACTGGACTCGGTAGTTGAAGAAAAGATACAATCCATACCTTTGCCACCTACCACTCATACAAGATTACCAGCTACAAATATTAAAAAGCAACCGGATTCTCCTGCTGGATCTACAACTTCTGAAGAAAAGAAGGAGCCAGAAAAAGAACAGGTGATTGTTACTGAAACAGACAAAAAAATTAAAGAAGAAAACGAGGACTCTTCAGAAAAATTTGAGCCAACAGCTGTCTATCAGTACCTCCGAGAAGAGGATCTAGATGAAAGTCCAAAAGGTGGAATCGACATATTGAAATCTCTGGAGAACACAGTGACCACAGCTATAAGCAAAGCTCAAAATGGAGCACCTTCCTGGGGAGGCTACCCTAGCATTCATGCAGCTTATCAGCTTCCAGGAACCGTTAAATCCCTTCAGCCAACTGTGCAGAGTGTTCAGATTCAGCCATCGTATGCTAGCAATGTAAAATCATTGTCTTCAGAACACAATGCGCTGATCCATTCCCCAGGCAATCTGACACCCCCTCCTCATAAAAGTAATGTCTCTGCCATGGAAGAGCTAGTAGAGAAGGTCACGGGCAAAATCCATATTAAAAAAGAAGAAAAGCCTTCAGAGAAAGAAAAATGTTCTCCAGTCAAGCCATTGTCCCCTGTTCCTAAGGAAAGCAAAGACTTTCCAAAATCAGAGGAAAGCAACAAGCAACAACAACTACATCAGCATCCACTACAGCAAAAACAAAGTCCTGAAGCTGAGGTTCAGAAGGTCAAAAAGGATGTTCTAGCCGACCCACATGCACTTAATGGCACTGAACCACCTAAAGCAAAAGTCACCAATGGCTGTAATAACTTGGGTATCATTACAGACCATTCACCAGAGCAATCATTCATTAACCCACTGAGTGCTTTGCAGTCCATCATGAATACCCACTTAGGCAAAGTCTCTAATCCTGTAAGTCCTTCTTTGGATCCTTTGGCCATGTTATATAAAATTAGTAACAGCATGTTGGACAAACCCATTTACCCTACAACTCCAGCCAAGCAAGCTGAGCCTATTGACCGGTACTATTACGAGAACAGCGATCAGCCTATTGATTTAACAAAATCCAAAACCAAACCACTGATTTCCAGTATGACTGATTCTGTCTCATCTCCTCTAAGAGAAAGTGCCCTAATGGATATTTCTGACATGGTAAAGAACCTCACAGGACGCTTGACTCCCAAATCTTCTACTCCATCTTCTGTGTCAGAAAAATCGGACGCAGATGGAAGTAGCTTTGAAGAAGCTTTGGATGAACTGTCTCCAGTACACAAGAGGAAGGGTAGGCAGTCAAACTGGAACCCTCAGCATCTTCTCATCCTTCAAGCCCAGTTTGCTTCCAGTTTGAGGGAGACACCGGAAGGCAAATATATTATGTCGGACCTAGGCCCACAAGAACGGGTTCATATCTCGAAGTTTACTGGTCTTTCCATGACCACAATTAGCCACTGGCTGGCAAATGTGAAGTATCAGTTAAGGAGGACAGGTGGAACTAAGTTTTTAAAGAATTTGGATACAGGTCATCCTGTTTTCTTTTGCAATGATTGTGCCTCTCAATTCAGGACTGCTTCCACGTATATAAGTCACTTGGAGACACATTTAGGGTTCAGTTTGAAGGATCTGTCCAAATTGCCACTTAATCAGATACAAGAACAGCAGAATGTTTCCAAGGTTCTCTCAAATAAGACTTTAGGCTCACTTGGAATTGCCGAGGAGGACTCGGGCTCCACATTCCAGTGTAAGCTCTGTAATCGAACTTTTGCAAGCAAGCATGCAGTCAAACTGCACCTTAGTAAAACACATGGGAAGTCCCCTGAGGACCATCTGATCTATGTAACTGAGTTAGAAAAACATTAGCGTCCAGGTAAGCAACCAGGTATGCAAGTGACCACAGGAACATTGCACTAAACTTCATAGTACTGCACTAGGCCTGATCTGAGCCTCTGAAATCAGTCTTACTTTTGTTGCTGAACTGCCTATCTGGAGCTTGGTTTTTCTTACATACGTTTTGTAGTTATATTTATATGCTCTTTGTCTGATCTGTGCATGTTTTTAAAACCTTTTTTTCCCTTTCCTCCCCCCCCTTTCTTTTTCTGTGAGTCAAAGTCTGACCTTTATTTTCAACACATGTCCTTGATGTTAAGCTATCTTTTGTAGACTATAGTGGGAGACACTATTGAGAGACATTAATTTAGCCGTAAAGAAAGACACAAAGAACAATAACAAAAAGACATTCTAAAATTACAAAGTTGCCATGACAATAAAGGTCACAGAACCCTGTGGTGTCAGTTTTTAACCCTCTGAGGACTATAATAGTATTCTGTGCCTTTCCCAAAAGAAGGTGTGTGTGTTTTTTTAAAAAAGGCATTTCATCCTAATATAACTGGGTCAAATTCACTTACATTTAATAGTTTTTTTTCAAATGTCAAAAAGCCTCCCCCCCTCAAAAAGCGCAGTTCTGATTTGCAAAGAAAAGATGCATGCCATTCTTGAATAATTATTAAAAGTGATCAAATGCTCAAAGACATGACCCATGTTTTAAAAAATAAAATCACAAACCAGTTTGCCACTATGCCCAAACCCTCTGAATGCTGAATATTGCCACTTGACTGGCATAAAAAGTATGCAAGTTATTTTAAAAAATGTAAAAATGTTATTTCTTTTTTCTGTAAGATACTGCAGTTTATAGTTATTTACAAATGTAAGCTTTGGTACAGGCTGATCTTTATAGTGTGCTGCATTGGTACATTAAAATGAAACAAAACAACAACAAAAATGGGGCAAGTGTTGGATTCTGATCCTTGTAAATTGCCAGCATCAGCTTAGGTTAAAAAAAAACCAGTACATGTTGCATATTGTACCATTTTAAATTGTTCAACTTCCTTTGTACCTTCTGGCTGTATGCTTTCTCTCTTAACTTTTTATATTGTCATTTTATATTCAATTTCTGTGTATATAATGTAAAAACACACTTTTTTGAATAAAATTGAGTTCCTTGCAGCTTGAGTTAAATAGAGAAATTTTACTGGCACCTGCATCTTCCCAGATGCATGTACTCAAAGGAGCTATCTGACAAAATAAATAAATAAAAATAAAGCAAACAATGCACTATGAATTATACATTTTGATGTTTTATCATTAATATTGTACAGTACCTTTTTGGTTCACGCAATGAAATCCACTGTTTTCTCAATTGTAAAATAAACCCACATGCAGTTCTTGATTTGTGCATATTGTGATGTCATCATTGCTTTGCCTTTGAGGTCTTCATTTCAGCAGCAACAAAATTACAACCTGAAGTATGTTTGAAATGATTTCTGTACTCTGATATGCTCCATTCTGTTACCTACCCAATGGTGATGTTCCAATTGTTACTGCAGTAGTTTACTGATGAATATATTGTGTAATTTTTTATGTGGTGTAAGTGTATCATCTGCTTTGAAAACATGACTAGCCCACCTGAGTGGTGTTTGAGTTCCTGATAGCTACCCAGTTGAACCCCACTCATTAAAAAGCATCCACTTGCCTCATCTTTAGTCCCTGTTTTAATGTAGCAGAGATTGGCAGCTTCTTTCAGACTGGGAAGTCACACTTGGTTTTTGAATGGAATGCTGCTGACTATACTTCAGACAGTAGGAGGCAGTCAATGAAATAGAATGTACAAAGAGTATGTTCTATTTCATTTATAGTCAGTTAATAGTCAGTTAATACATAATACATTTAATACATTTCCTTTTATATTGCTTTATATTGCATTTGATACATTTTTCAAGATCTTTGTGAGCTTAAGATACAAGTTTCTATTGAAGTTTATAGCTCCTGAGATAGAGGCCGAAAGTCATGAACTACATCTCCTACAACTTCCCACTTTACTTCAGAAAAAGTTGCATGATGATTATGACTACAAGTAGACCTTTTCATATGACTGGTCTCTTAACAACCATTTGAAGTTGGATGTCCATTTTTGGAGTGAAAAAGGCTGCACACAAACTCATACACCCATGGTCATGTGATTGTATTTTAGGCACCTCACCTTTACAACTGTTTGTTATATTCTGTTGTAATATGACTTGTGGCTTGCAATTTTTTTTAAAAAATGGTCATTTTCTGGCATTTATTCCAGTTTCTGGCAAAAATTGCAAACTGGGAAAAATTGATTACTTACCAGTCACCTTAATGACCATCACATAAAATGACATAAAATCAGGTCTGATCACATGTCACCACAATTTATAACTGCAATGGCTTACAACCATAATTGTACAGTCAATTATTTATATTATTTATTAAATTTGTTTGTGGTCGATCTCACTGCGAGGTGACTGGGCAGCTTGCAATATTAAAATGAAACCAATTATGGTAATAAGTCTAGACTATAAGTTGAATAGGAGGGCTGCCTTTTAGCCCAGTGTCCTTGTTCTACAAGAAATAGTGGCAACTTTATGCCATCCAGATATTTGCAGGCTCTGATATTTGTAAGCCCCAATAGCCATTTTCAGTGGGAAAACAATGGAAGCTGATCCAACATATCTGTAGGGTTTCTGGTTTATTCACTTCTATCTTCAAGATCATTTATTTTGATTCACTTGTTAATTGTTGACTTGGAGTCATAGTTTCCTCTCTGTGTTTGAGAATATTTCTCACTTAATTGCTACTCCTGTCTCTTAATAAACATAAATACTATAGCCTCTGAAGCCCCTAGATCCTTGATGGCAAACCTATGGCACGTGTGCCCGAAGTGGCATGAAAAGCCATCTCTGGGCATGTGAGCTGTTGCCCGTTGCTCTTCTGGGTTCTGGTGTGCCGGCCAGCTTGTCTTTACGCACACAAGAGTGCCGGAAACCACAAGAGCAGCCGCCTGGTGCACATGTGCGTGCTTGGAAGATGATCTTTGGTTTCCAGTGAATGCATGCGCACCGTCCACCTGGTCTTCTGGTTTCTGGCAAGCATGATGCACAAAGACCACCTTGTCAATGCGCATGCACGCAACAAAAACTGGAAGACCATCTTCCCGGCGTGCATATGTGTATTGGGTGGCTGCTCCTCTGGTTTCTGGCACTCGCTCTCATTTCAGCACTGGTTGCCGAAAGGGTTCACCAATACTGCCCTAGATACAGCTCTGTAGGTAAATTTGACTTTTAAATACAAACGCCCCTGATAGATAAGGCATCTTATATAGCACTTCATTTTTTACAGTAGCCAACTCCAGAAGCAGGAGATGAAGTCATATTCTACTGGCATATTTGTTTCCCTGCACTGAATTTGGAGGCATGCTGTCTGCGATTTGGAGGTTACTTTCAATCTTCAATTTTATAGACAGTCGAGGCCACAAACAGGGTACCTTTCATGGTAGATTTTGCTCTTCTGGGCATCAGTTTATATAAGGTTAAATTTACAGGTAGTCCTCAACAACTGCAATTGAGGCCAAAATTTATGTTGTTAAGCAAGACATTAGTTAATTGAGTTTTGCCCCATTCTATGATCTTTCTTGCCACAGTTGCTAAGTGAATCAGCATAGTTGTTAAGTTAGTAACACAGTTGTTAAGTGAATATGGCTTTCCCATTGACTTTGGCTGTCATAAGGTCCCAAAAGGAGAGCACATGACCCTGGATCACTATAACCGTCAAAAATGAGTCAGTTGCCATGTGTCTGAATTTTGACCATGTGACCATGTGGATTCTGCAACGGTGGTAAGTGTGAAAAATGGTCATAAATCACTTTTTTCAGTGTCATTGTAACTTTAAATGGTCACTAAATGAACTGTTGTAAGTCCAGGACTACCTGTAGTAGTCCAATTTTGCATTTGGTTTATCCAATTAAAAGCTTATTAATTTTTTCCACTTGTTTTTTTTTAGCACTTTGAATTTCTTCTGAAACTTGGCCAGATCACTGCTCACCATTAAGTAAAGATCATTTATGAAAAGTTAAAAAGCACCTGTCTAAATGCAGCTCCTTGTGTGACACTGCTGCTTTTTCCCACTGAAATTACTGATCAATGTCTATATTGTGCTTTCCCTTTTATTTAATTAGTTGGCAACTCATAAATGGGCACATTCTCTTATCTGATGCTAATTTTCCTTCTATCATGTTTGTTCTTTAGGGCTTTTCCCAATTTGCCTGGAACATATAATTAAGATGACCATCCTATAATTTTCTTTAGTTCCCTTTTAGGAAATTGGTATCACATTGATAACATTCTAGTTCTCTGGAAATAAGTATTTGCGGGGGGCAGGGGGTATTTAAATATTTTGCTATTGGGGTAGTCATTTCACTTCATTTCTTTAAGAAAACTGCAGGTGAGTGACACTAGGACCCAATGATTGGTTACTGTACAAAGTTATCCTAGAATATATTCTCTTCTTACTTCAATTTCCTGTAGTTATTCCTTCTGAAAGTCAGTACAGGCTCAGATCTTTGCCCTGTATATTCTCTTAGAATGGTTATTTATTTTTCTAATCAGAGAAGGGACATAGCAGAATTTATACGTTGGACTGACATAGGCTTTTCATTTTTTCTTTTTTCAAAGAAATGTAATTTGAGAAGCAGCCCTCGGAATCTAATTCAGCATGTTTTTAATGGTTGAAAGCTTCCTAATAAGATGGCCTGCTTAATGACTTGTTCACACAGTACGTTTGAAAAGAATAGGTGTAGCATTTGCTAAAGATTAATTAAATTGTGGAAGTTCATGGCAATGAAATAGGTGCACCAAGCCATACAAGACTTTGGCTTAACATGCAGATTTCTATTAATGTTTTCAAAGCGCATGTAAGGAAGCATCTATAATGCAACAAAATTAAATATGTTGGGAGGCGTAAAATGTCTGGCCCTGCTGCATTTCTTGCCCCAGTAGGTTGAGGTAACACTGGGCCTGTTGGAATGCTCTATAATTGGGCAGAACTAAATTAAGACAGTGGGAGAATTTATTATCAAATTTATGTATTCAGGCACTCAGTAAACCTCTGTTTGTGTGTGCATGCGTGCGTGCATGTGTCCACATGTGCCAGAATGTGTTGGAAAGGTTAAATTCTGTCATTTGACAACATTCTAATCTTTGCCCTTCCTATGGTAATAGGTTTTTTTCCAGAAAAGAAGAGAAAGGGGAATAAAAAGACTTCAATAGAATGCCATAATATAACTTGAATCTTGTATGCTCATAATGAGCTCTGGCTTGCAGACATGCACCTGTTTCTGTTTTCTGCTATTTTCATGAAAAATATTTAGAAGCATGTTGAAACTAGGGCTTTTATTTGATTTCAAATATCCAGAAAATCACTAGATGAGAGCAAATAGTCAGTCAGTTTTTAATTCTTCATCTTCTCTCCTACAAAGAGTAGCTGAAACGATATAGCCAGATAAGAAATGATGCTCAGTGTTCATTGCACACCAAAAGCACAGTGGAAAGAATGCTAAACTAGAAAACATTCTACTTTCTTCAACTTCATTTCTCTGTATATCCGGGAGTTTTTTTTAACTCCAAAGGAATGAAACTTTATCATCTACTGTTATGTGAACCAGGAGAAACTTGTTGATTATAAAAAGACATACTTTTAAAATACTAAATATGTTATTTGTTTATATTATACAAATTAGAAAAAACACAAGGCAGCTCTGAAAATAACTAATATCATCTCTTTCCACCAACACTCTGTTCCTTCTAATCCCAGTAATTTATCATTCTGTTTACATTCCTCACATAGCTATCCATCCATCCGTCCCACCACCCATTCATTCCAGGTGTAATAGTCCTCCAGAGTTTTGACATCAGGGTACAAGAAGACAGAACTGTATCTTTTAAATAGCTCGTTTTGAGATAAAGTCAAGTTCTATCACACCAGGACAAAATGTCCAGTGCTGATGCTACTTAACCATCAGCTCCCTATGCTTTTTTTTTTGGGGGGGGGGGGGTTGCTATGAAGGTTGTAACAATTAACACATAGAAACCCAGGCATTTGGTATGCAGTGCACATGTTAAAAGGGCATTCTGTAGGACTATGGGAGATTTGCTTCTCAGGTGAGAAAAGCAATAACAGTCCTTTGCAGTACATGGAAGGTCATATGAAACATTTGCACTGCTATAATTAGTGGTTTGACTTAGATTGGTCTGACTTTTAGTAACTCAGATTGTCTTCTTATAAATGGCTTCTTTATGAAGTTTACTTGGTGCTAATGTAATTGAGGAATGGTGATCATCTGATAGCCATTTTCAACAAATTTTTACCTCAAATTTT